ACAAATGGGTGTTGCTGAAAACGTTAAGGAGTTTGAGGATTCGTTTATACTGAGGCTAAGTAACCGCTGTAAACAGTAATCAGGTAATCACACTGAGTTGAAATAATAATTAGGAGGTGATGATAACAGTACATTTTTGTAACACTACAGATTACAGCCCACAAATGACTATATAATGATTTTCTGCAGGCCTAATGAGTACAAGAGTATCAATAAAACGCTTACTGGGCACCTATAAGTACAAGGGAAGACAACAAAAGGTTAAGGAATGAGGGGCTGATAGTTTTGTCCTTTAAGGAGTTAAATAAATTAAAAAGCTACAAATAAACAAATTACTGAGTATCCCTTTAAAGATGAAAGACTAAAGTTAGCTATCAAAGCAGGAACACGGGAGTAATAGTGTTAATATTAAAATGAAATTATTGTTTAGTTATGATATATTACAAAACCTATTTTTAATGTATTTTTCATATTATTGTTTCTGCTGGGAAACAAAACAGGCTTAGCCTGGAAAGTCGGGTGCTCCTTTAGGGCTATAATTATAAAATACCAGGTTTTATAGGCTATGCTAGTTTTTAAACTGATGAATGGGCTGTGAAATAGTTATTTCAGTGTTTCATTGTTATTTGATCACCATCTACACGTCCCTTCATGCGGTTCCTGTACTAATCCATTTGTACCTACTACTTCCTTGACACCTTGTACATACAAAGTATTTACACGTTAACTTGAAGACTGTAGAGTGCTACCATCTTTTCATCTAAAGCTTGTTATTGAAAAGATTAGATTACATTGGTGATCAGATTACACAGCAAGCGCTCATCAATTAAAACTGTCCTTTCATGACAGCATATCAACACAAATCTGTGGATGGAATGCAAAATGTTTTCTGCTTGTGTTCACTTCCCTGTATTATGGACTGTATAGGAACACCGAGGCTGCTCTGCTGACCTTCAGCATGAAATGAAAAATGTCTGATGCCTCTGGTGTGTTTGGAGGGGCTTTCTCTTTACCGAAGATGGACAGCTATGCATTATTGATTACAAAACACTCCTGCAATGCTATTTCATCTTTCCACCCCAGCTGACTGTGAATTGGGCTTTATTGCAGAGCATCTCAGATTTAGGTAGTACTAATGCATGAATCTATTTAATTGGCTGTATGGTTTCGTGTGTGTAACCCCCCCCCTCCAACACACAAACCCTCCAACACCTCCTTTCTCTCTAACACCCAGAGGGAGAATAAAAGGTAGATATGCAGAAACAACTCCCTTATCTTCACATCCCTCTGCGCTGACAAAGAATTGCACAAGACAAAAAACAAAAGTAGGCAGAGACAAACCCATGTGGAACAATAGGAGGGTGAAATACAATCTAATGTTTGTCACACCAACTCTATCACATATCACGCAGCAAAATTTATTTTATTCTTTTTACAAAACATCTGCATACTAATGCTGAGAATGTCTGTATAAAGCACACGCTGCATGTTCACATTATTTATTTTCTTGCCTATAGCATACAGTATGCTGGTATATTAGCATACTATGCTTAGTGATTTTTCTTTCTTCTATTCTCTACAAGTGCTATTTTGCACAAGCTGCATGTTGATAGCAATATGTCATTGTGACTCTTATTAATTCTAGTGTTTCAGTTACTGTGGATTCCTAAACATATTGTTTATTGTTTATCCTAAGGGTTCCTCTTACATTATGTTTAGTTATTTTATGTTTTGAATTTTCACAATAAAATATAACATTTTATTTGCATGTTTGAAAGCTTTATGTGTTGCTGAGCATACCCTACTGAGTATGATCACAAGGGAGGATGCCCATAGCGAGAATGGCTGTCAGATGATGTTTCCACAATGCCACAGAATGATTGGTTTCATGGATCCGGAGAGTGCTCTGTGACAGTGCAGAGGGACACTCTGCCACACCTGGGAGAAGAAACACTGGCAGGATGTAAAATCTTACTGAACAAGGTCATTCCAAGGGTCATAGCAAGACTTGTCACCCATCTCCCCCCCGGCATCAAGGAATTTACAGCCTGGCCTCGTGCTACATATGGAGAATACTGGGTGTGAATTCACCCTTTGTTTGGGATGTGAGTCTGACTTGGTCTTTGTCTGCCTCTGTAAGAGATGGTGGTGAATCTGCAGACAACAGTACCCTGGCTTGAAAAGGGAAACATATAAGCCAAAATTAGCAAGGACGCCCTCACCCACTGAATGCTTCTGTTTTAAGATCCTTAACAGAACACAAGGGTTAACTGTGAACACTCTAATGCCATTAAATTGCAATTGAAGCTTTTGATTGAAATCAATCAATAAATCTTTAATTGCCTAGGCATTTTTTTTTCACTAAATACCTTAACTCCAAAGTGTTGCAATCATGCACCGTATTTTCAAGTCTAACTTTTGTCTAGCCTTCTGTCTAAAAGCACAGTCAGTAACAATGATAGCAGTGTGGTTGGTGAGGCTTGTTAGCATGACTGACAAGGCTAGAGGTGGGACTCAACAACAGCTTCTCCCTCACTCTCTTTGCCCTCCCAGCATGTTTTTCACAACATGATTTTAGCATGTCTCCCAGAAAGGTGGGCTTCCTGACAATCTCACTCCCAGAGCCCATGACAATTCAATGATTTATCACTCTCCTCTTGACTACGGTGAGAGTGAAGAAAACAGACCACAGCGCAAAAAAAAAAAGAAGGTCAGAGTGATGTCCAATCTTTTGTTTTCAGTGGTGAGATCAGTTGCCTGTGCAGCTGTGAGGGGACAGGCAGAGTAACTGGCAGCCTGGTAGGAACAGATGTTCTCACACAATGACCATGCACTTGATTGGTTGCTTATTCACTAAAAGTTAGAGCTGACTTCCTCTATTAGGAAACAAAGAAAAATACAGCAAAGGTTCACAGCTTTTCACATGTAGGCCTATCTCTGGGAAAAATGTTGCTGAGGCAATCAGGCTCATATACATTACATCCTGCTAAAGATATATCAATACAACAGATGGACATCTATTTATGGGCATATGTTAAAGTTGCACATAATACTGGTGTGTTTGTATATATGCCAGGGTTCTTAAGAGGGCAAACACTTAAAATAAAAAACTAAAGTCTAGTTCAGGTGCCACCCTAATTCTTTGTTCAGACATATTCCAGACTACATAAAAATTACTTTTACTCTGTGACTGTGCTCCGCACCACTGCTAACCGCTACATACACCAACAACAAGGCACATGTTTAGCATGATTCTGCCCACCATGTTCTGAATGGAAACTACTAGCTTACTAAACAACTGGACCAGCAATTTAACTTTTGTTATTTGGTTTTACAGTTCAACTGCTATGAAAACTGATGAAAATACAAGCAAAAATTTCAGAAAGATAAAACATACATGTTTCCACCATTGTACTTTCATTGTGTTTAGTAAGGACAGAATGGACGGATACTATGCTCTGTCGCATATGCAGATAGTGCAGTCTCTGTGGCAAGCAAAACAACTTGGAGCAGACACTATCAGCAACAGATCAGAGGTCAGCATGGCCCCTAAAATTTCACAACTTTTCCATTAAATTCTGTTTTTCTTCGAATGAGAAAAACATGAACACTAATTCTCTAACTTAGGTGTTCACACAAAACTCATAATATTCTACAAGCCCACTGACCAGATGGAAGTCTGCCAGTCACAAAAATAATCAGTCAAAGTAATAAGTACACTTTCGGTTTCAGTATCTCTGGAGATCCATGTTTTCGTGTTCTTTCTTTATTGCAATACACAGTTCTCCTCCCCAGTGTTCTGTCAGCTGAAACCACAAATTCCCACCTTCCTGTTACGGTGAATGTAAAGAGATGTTATCAATGCCAACACCAGATTATAAACAGCAGAGGACAAACATATAAAATAAGAGATGATCTAAATCATCTTGTGTGCTTACTTGCATGCCTGTATGCACTGTCCATAAAACAAACAGCTGGAATATGAAGTTCAAGTGTTCACCAAATGAAAGTCATCTTGCTGAAAGAGGAGATCTGCATGAAACATAGTCTAGATCAAAGTACTAAATAGGACCAATCATATTTCATCAGCACAGTCAACTTGTTGGCATACTGACCAATAAATGCCCAAAGCCACTCATAACTCACTGCCTCCCTCTGCTGGTCTTAATGGACAGTAAATTAATCTTACAATGTGCCTCATAACCTCTTGAGAAATCAATACGATATTGTCTGTGGCACACTTTATAGTATTTTTTATGTGTGAAGGTCTTCAAAGACTTAAACTATGTCAGGGCCCAGTTTATATTTGCCTTATCATAGTGTACTTTATGGTACTTTTAGCTCACATAGTATTTGTAATATTCAAGTAATATCTCTACAGGCACTTTAGGTGTCACTGGCAATCAGTATCTAGTTTCATATACTTTGAAATGTTTTCTTTACTATACAACTATTTTTTTTGTCAATAATGTTACTCTTGAGAATCTGGGCTATGAAGGATACTGATGTTGGCATATTATAGACATAACAGAATGCAACTGCATACCAGTAGGGCTCATCATTTCAGTCAGTAATGTGATTTAGTGGTGCATAATTTGCTCTATATTACATTATCATAACAGAAACACAGGACTTTCAGGGTTCCCTGAGGGTACAGGTAACACTACTAGTGTTACAGAGCTAAAAGCTACAGGTGTCATGTAGGTCATTTCTCTTATCAAATATTTTACATATATAGCCTATATAATGAGTGCAGCCACATTATTTGAGAAAAAGAAAACAATAGCCTATTGAATGAAAATAACCTGGAAATTAAGGTGCACATACAACAGGTAAAATATTTCCTTAATTTGATATTCATATATGGCTTACTCCCTTATCAGTAAAACAGCAAAGTACCAAAGCTGTTATTTATGTGCGTAGTTGCTTGTTAACTACAATGAACCAGACAGTAGATGTCTCCCTACTCCGTGCAGCTCTACCTCTTCATGGTTACGCTGCTGTCTACAAATGACCGAGTCGCCATTTTGAAAAACAAACTGTTCACAGCACACCCGCTCCGAGTACTGGAACTATGCCGCGTGGTCGGCCTCGCAAACTGAGAGTTAAAAGCAACGACGAAACAGGTAACAAGTACCAAAATGCAACGAATAAAAAAATCAGATTATAGGCTATCCAAATAAGCTGGTCTTATTTCGACAAAGGTCTCTGTAGCTTGTATAATAACACTTCAGTGTAGTGTATATAGTCCCCGGATATAGTATTGCGGGTGGGTTTTGCTTTGTGCCATGAAGGAGTGATTGAGGCGGAATGATATTAATAACATTTCGGTGGCTCGCCTTGTTGGCTTCCAGTCTAAATTGGTGTCCGCGAGAGGAAGAGTCAGATCGTGGTTCATGTGTAGCGTTAGTTAGCCTACACTTTTCGCATCAGATATCTGACTATGAAGAATTCGTCGTTAGCTTCTTGTTGCTAACTAGCTCGCTTTGCCACCCTTAGCGTCGGGGCTAACACGCCAAAACGTTGCCCATTGTTATTTTGATCCCGTGAATTAGCAGCAATGCTGCCCATTTTGTGATGGATCAGTTATCACATTCATTAAACTGAAATAACCTAAATACGTGCCAGAATGTGTTCACGGAGTGCATTTAGTTTGCTAACATATTTTGTCATCGTAACACCGTCGTGTTATTTAGCTTAGTAAAGAATACAGGCTAGTTGGATAATTTAATTCAGGTTACCAACTGATTCCAGAGGTGCGTGTACAACCGTATCATCAGAACCATACAGTATATAGCAATTTAACACTGGATTCATTTCCTAAAACCACACTGTCATACACTCCGAGCAAAGCCAGTGGCTGTCACAGCTAATGTGGGCGTGTGGAACACAACTGTTGAATATGAAAAGTCACAGCGAAACATCAGGTTCACGTTGGGATCATATAAACTCAGTCTGCTTTCCCCCCATTAGATACAAACAAGGCGAATTAAATTTTATTTTAGCAGTAAACCTACACAGAACCTAAAGGTAATTGCTGAAGACAGACTTATGTGTTTGTAATATACAGTAAAAGAGTTTGAGTTTGTCGGACATTCTTTCATCCTGACAGGAAAAAATAACTCGACAGTCAATTTTAAAACTTTGAATATAGGAAAAAATATACTGCTGTTCAGTACTGTAATTTATAAATCGCGATAAAATTAAAAAGCTATGTCAGAACATCCATAATTTCTTTTAATTTGTAGTGACACTACCTGATTCCATTTAACTCTGAATTCCATGTAATTACTCATAACCCACTATGAGCAACACTAAATTCATAGATGTCACGTCATAATATTTATTTTTGTACAAAGCATGCTACCTTGTCATCTACCAGTATTTTGAAATTCTGGAGAGAGGACTGTTACATGATCTGCTTGGATGCAGACCTTTGATTTTAGACTTTTATAACCCTAAAGCTACTGAACGTGGCAACTGTCTAGTTGAAGAGGCTAGTGGAAGATGCTTTGGCTGCTTTTCTCAGGAGAATGCCACTTGAAGCAAATTAAGATATTGAAGTGTTCCCTCTTGTACTTCTCAGATGTGGATCCCAGCGAATCAAAGGCAGGAAATTTCAGTGATGGTGAGCTCAAGGACAAGAAGTGCACAATATGCTGTCAGATCTTTACCACAGAGAGCCAGCTGCAGAAGCATCTCCGTGAGCATGAGATCAATGATAAGGTAAGTACAGCACAGAGGTGGTGGAAATCAGCACTGACAAGATCATGAGCATGGAACCGTTTATTTAACCTTTATTACCTCTTTTTGGATATGGCCAGCAGAGTATACTTGCACTCAATCATCACCTCATGTATTTCTCACACTCCAGTCTGGTCATTATAACTACATCTAGTTGCTGTTGGTCGCTAGTCTTTGCCCAGTAGAAAAACATTATAATTACCATCTCATAAACAGCTCCACTGAAGCAGTGGAGATGTAAGTGCTCTGTTTAAGGTCTGTTTGAGGGTAGTTCTCAGGAAAGTGCTCTGACTTAGCAACAAAATGACTGATGTTGTCTGTCAAACAAAATGTTTATTGAATAATGGCTTAATAACTTTCCAGCTGTTGTTAACATTTTCAGTTTGTTTGACCTTCAGTTTGGTTGAAAAGACTCATAACTGACAGGTTTAGTTATCACTTGGTTCGGGGAGATGCTGTCTTACAACAGCAAGCCATGCACTACAGGGCGGCTGGACAGCTGAAACATGTGATGGATGTATGAGCTGACAGCATTCTGGCGCTTACTGGAGCAGTAAGCTTTGTCTGTGAGGTTGTTGACCTGTTATGGATTACCTTTGCATAGTGTAACCAAAACTCAACACTTTGGGGAAATAGAGGAAACTGCACCTGTCATGTTCCCTTGCAGGAGATAACAGACATGCTGTAGTCAAAGCTGTAGTGGACGACAATGTCCCTGCTACAGGTTGGATTTGGGCCAAGCTAGTGGCTTACCATCAAAGTTAGATGTGTCCTGGATTTCTTATCTTAGATTTTTCACAATGTGGACGTCTAAAGCTGTGTTGAATACCATTGTTTATTTGGCACCTTTAGCTCAAGTCTCATCTTATTTGTCTGTAACATTTTAGTGATACAGTTTAGTGTCACCACATTTCATTTAACAGGATGCTTACTAATATTGAAGATGTAAGGGGATGTAAGGATTCATGTAGACATTCGTCCTCCATTAAAACAGCTGAAGGAGCTGCACTGGTGGGGGTGTGTTGTTTTGTGTACTGGCGAGATGATGTTTATTAGAGGCTAAAACACAGCACAATAGTTTGTAAAACTCACAGACAGGATTGTACAACTCTGGAATGTTATCGTGGCAGCAAATGTTTTATTTTTGGTTATGACAATGTCACCAGGAATGTGCACTTGCAAGTATGTGATTGGCCAGTGCAGTGCCAAGGTTTTCTCCTCTGCGCTGTTTTGGACAGTGGCACAGTCTCACTCCTAAACAAATTAAAAATCAATGTGGGAGGTTTCTAGCTCTTAAAATGTTTAAACTTATTTGATAAGATTATCATGAGATTAAGAGCGGTATGTGAAAGTCTGCTTCAGTCATACTAGCAGTTTTACTGTGAGCTATATTCCAGGGAAGCATGCATACACTTTATAATAATGCAGTGTTTTGCTGGTTTTTTTGTGTTGTGGTGCTACAGAAACATTATAGCAGAACTTTAACTGAAATTTTCATAGAAGGGACAAAGGGTCTCTCTCTCCATGTTGCCTTGTAGCAGTCATAAATAGCACTGCAAATATTACTAGATGTTGAATGACAGCTGCAGTCTACTGCCGTGGTCACTCACCAGTAATAGTAAATTGGTTTTAGTGGTTAATTGTATGAATTTCACTTCTGTTGTCCCAGATTTTGTGGTCGTACATAGGAAAATACATACGACACTAACTCAAAGAGGTTCTTCACAGGTAGAGTCAGAGGGTGCTTGGAAGTAAACAAGACCTTGAACAAGATGTGAACAAGACCCCAAGATACTTGAACTCCTCCACTTGAGACAGGAACTCTCCACCAACCTGAAGGGAACAAGCCACCCTTTTCCGACTGAGAACCATGGCCTCGGATTTGGAGGTGCTGATTCTCATCCCAGCCGCTTCACACTCGGCTGCAAACCGCCCCAGTGCACGCTGGAGGTCCTGGTTTGATGGGGCCAACAGGACAACGT